GCTGGGTGCGCTTCACCGCAGTTGGAGCATTTAGCTGGAGTGATTTTGGGTTTAGTACATGACGCAGTAAGATGATTCCCAGCACACTTGACACACACTGGTTTGCACACACTCTATTGCAATATTTTTGCGTCTGTCCAAATCTTTGGCACTTTTTGCATTGTGGAATCAGTTGGGCTGTTTTGAGTGATTCCACAATAACTTTCGAGTTGGTATGATATCTATATATTGTATTTCAAATACTTTTCAAAAGTTGCTATAAATAATGGCAACTTGATATATTCTATCTTCTGGTTCCTCGAGATTCAATTTAGTTAATTTATAACACTGATTGCTTTATAGCCTTTTTCTTTCAGCTCCTGTAATAGGTCTTCCTTGCTACACGACGGGTGAAGATTTTTAAGCATTACTCTGATCGGCCTTTGTTGTTTATTTTCATCAGAATGCCATTCTTGCTTTTCTTCATTTAGTATTTCTGTCAAATCTCTATATTCTTCTGGAGTTTCTACATTGAACTTCATCTGGTTATTATTCAGTAGTGCGGCATTGAATTTTAATTTTTTACTGTTCAGTTGGCTTTTTATTTTGTTGTAGTCTACAATATTTCTAACAACCACCGGGGGTGGCCTTCGAATTTTCGCCTGTATATTTCGTTCAATTTCAATGGGACTTGGTTTTGGTTGTAGTGGTGAAGATGACGCTTTTCTTTTTTTATGTTTAGGTAATAGCCAAGCTGTCTCTCGGTTGACTATATCTTCTTCCTCGTCCGTATTGACTGGGCTATAAGGATTATTCGATTTTTTGTTTATATTAGCTATTTGTCTCCGCAAGTAGATGATGACCTTTTCTGCGTTCTTCAGTTCATTCTGCAGGACCCAGAGAATTTGTTCACTCCGGTCTGCAATTTCATCAGTTTTATTAATCTCGCCCAAGCAAGCTTTTATTGCCTTTTATTTGGTCGCACATTTTCACGATATTTTAACGGTTTTTTTTACCGCCGATATCACCTCGCGTGGACTGATATCTATTTCGCTTATCGCACTTTGCTTCGCGGGACTCGCGGACACGTCTACTCCGTACGACGACCACTAAAGAACTCTTATATTTTCTCCATTTGCTGATTCCAAAACATAGTTGATTCCAGTACTTCTTCTTTCACTCCGATGGCGGCAATTAAAAAGTACATCAGGTCTTACGATGGTGTGAGTTGAGCCAGTATCCAAAATCATCTCAGTTTCTCGGCCACATATTGTCCCTGGTACTACCAAGGTGGATCCAGTGTTCTTGAGCCGAAAAATCGTAACCTTGACAGTCGATGGTGGGGCTTGGTAGCACCTAGCCAGCTTTCGCCCCTCAAAGCTGACTATTTTGGAGTTTTCCTGCTGTCTTCCTGGAGAAGCGGTTCTTCGCACAAAATTTCTGGTCTTGAAATTTCGGCAATATTTTTGAATATGACCTTCTTCTCCGCACGTCCACCAGGTTGGCTTCTGTCTTAATTTTTGGCGTCTCTCAAAGTCGCTTGGTCTTTGCTTAATAACAAAGTTGAAACTCGATGTTTACCTGACATCTTCTAGAAATTATCAAAAAAAAAATTTCCAATATTTTTCTCGTAGGTACTCTCCAAGTGAGCCCCTATTACCCCTCAAAAGGAATGACGCCAATTTTGAATCACCCTGTAGACCAGTTTAATGACCAGACCAGTTGAACCTGTTTACCATGGTCAGAATTTACATTTTTTTTCATCTTCCGGCAGTTCTCTTCTTCATTTTCAGGTAGTCCTTGTGTATTGGAATTATTGGTTTGGCTTTCCATACAAACTTTGTTTAAAATTTTAGCTGCTTGAACTTCCAATTCATTTCATTTCGTTTTTTCATTCATTTCAAAAAAAATCGACTTCCTCGGTTTCATTAAAAATTAATATTAAACTCACTCTTATCATTAAATTATGTTGTTTAGCTTATTTTCTTATGATCGAAGTTGTGTGTTAAAATACATCATACGAAATGTTATTTTTCTTGATCCCCTGGTGGAAAGTACGTAGTTTCGCCACTGTTTTCGACTTCAAAAACTGTTGTCAACTTCAAGCAGTGGCGGAACTTTGACCTTCATCTACTGTACCGTAATACACTATCGTTCGATAGCGTTTCTAATTTTAAAAAACCTTACAAAATTAGAACTTAAAAAAACACTAAAATATTCACAAGAAGATGAAAAAATTAAACTCCTTCCTGTTAATAAAAGTAATGTAACAGTTATCTGGGTCTAAAATATCTATGATCAAAAAATGAATAAACTTTTAAATGAAGGATTTGCTTGAAAATTAAAGAAAAGTCGAACAAAACATTTTGAAAGACAAATTTATAACAATCTCCAAAAATTTAAACATGAATTCACAGATTACGAAAATTAGAAATAACAGCACATTTTTACGACGTTTCAAAACTTCATTAATTAAAGATTTCCTTGAGACCAATATT